CTAGCACGTTCGAGCACTTCCCATTCTAGGTCAGGAGGTTTGGGATTTTAGGGCTGTGACTTAATACCCAAGTCCTGAGGCCAAGTAGGACATGGAGACATCAGAGTCCCTTTCAGAAAATAGACCAGCAGCTGTGATAATCTGCCCCCAAGGTCTCTGTAGGGGACATTTGGGGACACAGGATTCCATGTGGATGGCAGTGCCTGTCACTGTGACATATCTATGAATGTCTCTGGCCTCTGTGACTAGTATTATCCCCTTCTTTCCCATCAGAGTTGTGACAGCTTTGCTGGAGGGCTCACTCCTGGCTGGGAAGCTGTGTTGGGGTGCAGCCGCCAGCTCTGAGGTGAGGGCATTTCTCCTATCCTGTTTGCCCTGTGTCCATGAGGAGCAGGTCTCCTCTGCTAGTGGTGAGAACACAGTGCTGATGGATTATTAAAAATAAAGCAAAATAAAAAAAAAATTGGATTGGAAGTGAAGAGGGGACTGGGTAGAGGTGTCCAGGAAGGAGTTGCAGGGAGGAAATGGGAGAGGTATGATAAAAATACAATATATGTATGTATGGAATTCTCAAAGATTATTATAAAATATATATTTTAAAATGAGAAGCTGGAGCTGGGCGTGGTCGCTCACACCAACTTTAATCCCAACACTTGGGGGGCAGAGGTAGGTGGATTTCTGGGGGAGTTCAAGGAGAGCCAGGGCTACACAGAGAAGCCCTGTCTTGAGCCAGGTGGTGGTGGTGTATGCCTTTAATCCCAGCACTTGGGAGGCAGAGGCAGGCGGATCTCTGTGAGTTCGAGGCCAGCCTGGTGTACAGAGTGAGTTCCAAGACAGCTTCCAAAATAATACAGAGAAACCCTGTCTCAAAAAACCAAAAAAAAAAAAAAAATGCCCTGTCTTGAAAAATCAAAATAAATAATAAAAATACATCATGGGTTTCAATATAGTTTCATACCTGTAATATAATGCATTTTGGTCATGTTTGTTGGAAATAAGAATCTTACTTATCCCCCATTGTTCTCTTCCCCCAGAACCTCTGAACATTCCTTCCTTTCCATGCTAACCCTTGGCCAGGTCCAGCCCTCCAGCCTTCCTCCTCTTCTACTCCCTCCCCTCTGAAATCAAGACTGTTTGGCCTTGAACCTTCTAGACTTTGGAAAATGCTGATGCCCCAAAGCTCATGACTCAACCAAGAAACAGGAATCACGAGGCTGAAGCAGAGCATCAGCTAAATATAGCATGGGTGTATCTGAAAGCCAATATCACTGTAGAACCAGCCTTGGTATTCTGTCCCTTTTGTCTGAAATCTAGAAAGAATTGGCCTGCACAGAAATCTGTCTGAGAAACCACTGGGGTATCCCAGAGAATGACATTTTCTCAGTGGCATATGACTTCATTCATGGAAAACCACAGAAATTAGTCTGTTTTTAACAATATTTCTGATGTTGAATTATTATGAATTCCTAAACCGGAGGAACCAGACAATCTTGAAATCTCAACACCTGGGTGGTAGAGGTAGGAGGCTCCCTGCAAGTTAGACCCCAGCCTGGTCTACAGGATGAGTTCCAGGGCAACCTGGTGACCCTGTCTCAAAAAAACCCTCAAAAAGTGTTGGGATTAGTGGCATGCACCACCATTCCCACCAAAGGTTTATTTTTAATAATATGTGTGTGAGTGTGTATCACTATGAGTATATGTCAACATGTGTCAATGTCCCCAGGGACATTTAAAGAGCCCCTGAAGCTGGAGTCATAGGCCATTATGAACTGCCTGACATGGCTAATGGGAATTGAACTCAGATTTTCTGGAAGTTATACCTGCTCTTACTGCTGAGCCATGTCTCTGAAGACCCCAGGGATTTTTTTTTTTTTTTTTTGAGACAGGTATTTTCTGTATAGCCCTGGCTGTCCTGAAAGGCACTCTCTATATGTAGACCAGGCTTGCCTGGAGCTTGGATATCCACCTGCTTCTGCCTCAGGAATGGTGGGATTGAAGGTGTGCACCACCACATCCGCTAACATGCACAATTCTTAATGGGTTTATATCTTATTTAATGAATGAAAGGTTTGGGGTATGGATGTAGCTTAATGGAAAATGACTGAAGATTTCAATTAAAAATCTGGGGCTTAGCTGCGCGGTGGTGGTGCCTGCCTTTAGTCCCAGTACTGGGGAGGCAGAGGAAGGAGGATCTCTGTGAGTTCGAGGCCAGCTGGTCTATAACGTGAGTTCCAGGACAGCCAGAGATACACAGACAAACCCTGTCTCACAAAACAAAACAACAACAACAACAACAAATCTGGGACGTAGGCTTGGTGTGGTGGCACACATTTTGATTCCAGCACTTGGAAGGAAGAGGCCTGCATGGTCTACATAGCTTGTTTCAGGCAACCAGAGCTACATAGTGAGATCCTGTCTCAACAAAAATAAAATAATCTAAGGCTTCAAAGGGTTCAATCTCTTAGGTAGCTAAATATGAACAAAATTTGGGAAATGTGACCTTTTCCTTAGTGACAGTCAGATAGAACCTTCTCGAGTGCAAGGACACCAAGTGCAAACAGGCTCAAGAACAGCCTGGAAAGGTCTAGTGCTATGGGGCTTCAGGTCGAATGCCAACTGTTTTCAAGAACTGTGTGGATTTTTCTGCCTGTAACGAATTCAGATTCATTTTTCAAAACTCGGGGAGAGTTTTCCCCCTTTATAATTTTTTTTTTAAATTTATTAAACTTTGTTTCGTTCCCCTTGTTTTGAGAATTGCAGAGTCATCCACCCTGTCACAGTGCCAGGGAGCTCAGGGATGGGCCCAGGGGCCTGGCGGGGCTGAAGGGGCTGGGGAAGCGAGGGCTCCAAAGGGACCCCAGTGTGGCAGGAGCCAAAGCCCTAGGTCCCTAGAACGCAGAGGCCACCGGGACCCCCCAGACGGGGTAAGCGGGTGGGTGTCTGGGGCGCGAAGCCGCACTGCGCATGCGCCGAGGTCCGCTCCGGCCGCGCTGATCCAAGCCGGGTTCTCGCGCCGACCTGGTCGTGATTGACAAGTCACACACGCTGATCCCTCCGCGGGGCCGCACAGGGTCACAGCCTTTCCCCTCCCCACAAAGCCCCCTACTCTCTGGGCACCACACACGAACATTCCTTGAGCGTGACCTTGTTGGCTCTAGTCAGGCGCCTCCGGTGCAGAGACTGGAACGGCCTTGGGAAGTAGTCCCTAACCGCATTTCCGCGGAGGGATCGTCGGGAGGGCGTGGCTTCTGAGGATTATATAAGGCGACTCCGGGCGGGTCTTAGCTAGTTCCGTCGGAGACCCGAGTTCAGTCGCCGCTTCTCTGTGAGGACTGCTGCCGCCGCCGCTGGTGAGGAGAAGCCGCCGCGCTTGGCGTAGCTGAGAGACGGGGAGGGGGCGCGGACACGAGGGGCAGCCCGCGGCCTGGACGTTCTGTTTCCGTGGCCCGCGAGGAAGGCGACTGTCCTGAGGCGGAGGACCCAGCGGCAAGATGGCGGCCAAGTGGAAGCCTGAGGGGATAGGCGAGCGGCCCTGAGGCGCTCGACGGGGTTGGGGGGGAAGCAGGCCCGCGAGGCAGCTGCAGCCGGGAACGTGCGGCCAACCCCTTATTTTTTTTGACGGGTTGCGGGCCGTAGGTGCCTCCGAAGTGAGAGCCGTGGGCGTTTGACTGTCGGGAGAGGTCGGTCGGATTTTCATCCGTTGCTAAAGACGGAAGTGCGACTGAGACGGGAAGGGGGGGGAGTCGGTTGGTGGCGGTTGAACCTGGACTAAGGCGCACATGACGTCGCGGTTTCTATGGGCTCATAATGGGTGGTGAGGACATTTCCCTGACTATAGCTTTCCCTCAGTTGTAGGACAGGGTTTGGGCCTCGGCCTCGGGTTAGGCTCTCCAGAGTGGGCAGGAACCGGAAATCCAGAGGGGGGAAAAGTGAGCCTAAATTGAGTTTTGTTTCTTGTCCTATATGGTTTAGAGAGAGACTCGCTGCAAAACCGTGGCTGGCCTGGAACTCTAGACCAGAACCCTGGCCTTTGCCGACCCACATGATTAGATTCAAGGCCTGTGCCACCAGCCCAGGCTTTATTATTATGGTCTGGGATTTCTGCGATTTCATCCCTGGTGTTTTGGGATGATGACTTGTGGGTCTTCCCTCCTCCCCCTTACTGTTTCTGTCCATGGCGTGTGTTCTAACCCAAGTTTGTTCTTTTGGGGGGGTGGGAGGGTTGCGATAAAATGGGATCTATCTCTGCCCTCCCAACTTGAGATCTGCCTGTCAGAAGTCTCAGTGCTGAGAATAAAGGTGTGCATTGGCTCAGACCTCGATTTTTTTTTTTTTATTATTTTGTAGGAAGTCTGTAGTCCTTACTTGATACATAAGACCAGACAGGATCTGATTTCCTGCCTATGAATGGTAGATCCTCTCAGTGACTGCAGTGTGAATGGGGACCACGCTTTTCTCCAAACTATGCAGATAGCCATGAAAGCCATGAAATGACTTTCAGCCACTGGTACTGCAATATCCACTCACCATTTATTATATGGACCAGGTTCACCATGCCTAGGTGGCTTTGCTTTTGAGACACGGTTTCTCTGTGTAGCCTTGGTTATGTTTTTTTGTTTGTTTTTTTAATTATTTTTGGTTTTTCGAGACAGGGTTTCTCTGTGTAGCTTTGGAGCCTATCCTGGCACTTGCTCCGGAGACCAGGCTGGCCTCCAACTCAGATCTGCCTGCCTCTGCCTCCCGACTGCTGGGATTAAAGTAAAGCCATTCTGCAACCCTGAATACCACTCAATAGGTTTCTTATTTGAAATGTGGTTTTATGATTTTTATTTCTGGATTTAGAAAAGAAATCTTCAGACAGAAGTCTTCAGACAGAAACTAGCTGTAGTTTGGCTGTGTGAACTAAATTGGCATCCATTTCACAGCAATCCAACTGTTAGTACCATACCACGAATATTTGTCATTCCTGACCTGTTTTTTGTTTGTGTGTGTGACAGACAATGCAGATCTTTGTGAAGACCCTGACAGGCAAGACCATCACCCTGGAGGTCGAGCCCAGTGACACCATCGAGAATGTCAAGGCAAAGATCCAGGACAAGGAGGGCATCCCCCCTGACCAGCAGAGGTTGATCTTTGCCGGCAAGCAGCTGGAAGATGGCCGCACCCTGTCCGACTACAACATCCAGAAGGAGTCCACCCTGCACCTGGTCCTCCGCCTCAGGGGTGGGATGCAGATCTTTGTGAAGACCCTGACAGGCAAGACCATCACCCTGGAGGTCGAGCCCAGTGACACCATCGAGAATGTCAAGGCAAAGATCCAGGACAAGGAGGGCATCCCCCCTGACCAGCAGAGGCTGATCTTTGCCGGCAAGCAGCTGGAAGATGGCCGCCCCCTGTCCGACTACAACATCCAGAAGGAGTCTACCCTGCACCTGGTCCTCCGCCTCAGGGGTGGGATGCAGATCTTTGTGAAGACCCTGACAGGCAAAACCATCACCCTGGAGGTCGAGCCCCGTGACACCATCGAGAATGTCAAGGCATGGATCCAGGACAAGGAGGGCATCCCCCCTGACCAGCAGAGGCTGATCTTTGCCGGCAAGCAGCTGGAAGATGGCCGCCCCCTGTCCGACTACAACATCCAGAAGGAGTCTACCCTGCACCTGGTCCTCCGCCTCAGGGGTGGGATGCAGATCTTTGTGAAGACCCTGACAGGCAAAACCATCACCCTGGAGGTCGAGCCCCGTGACACCATCGAGAATGTCAAGGCATGGATCCAGGACAAGGAGGGCATCCCCCCTGACCAGCAGAGGCTGATCTTTGCCGGCAAGCAGCTGGAAGATGGCCGCCCCCTGTCCGACTACAACATCCAGAAGGAGTCTACCCTGCACCTGGTCCTCCGCCTCAGGGGTGGGATGCAGATCTTTGTGAAGACCCTGACAGGCAAAACCATCACCCTGGAGGTCGAGCCCCGTGACACCATCGAGAATGTCAAGGCATGGATCCAGGACAAGGAGGGCATCCCCCCTGACCAGCAGAGGCTGATCTTTGCCGGCAAGCAGCTGGAAGATGGCCGCCCCCTGTCCGACTACAACATCCAGAAGGAGTCTACCCTGCACCTGGTCCTCCGCCTCAGGGGTGGGATGCAGATCTTTGTGAAGACCCTGACAGGCAAGACCATCACCCTGGAGGTTGAGCCCAGTAACACCATCAAGAAAAGCAAACAGGAAGATGGACGCACCTTTCTCACTACACTGTCTAGAAAGAGCACACCTTGTGCTTGTTCTTGGGCTTGAGGGGAGGTGTTTTAATTTACCCCATCTTTTAAGTTGTTAACAAGTTTCATTGCACTTTGAATAAAGTTCTTGCATTCCCAAAGGTGTTGGATCTTGTTTTAGCTTTAGTTTGTTGGTTCCTGATTGTAGAGGCTATCAAGTTTGTGTCATCAGTCTATGTTAATTACCATTAGGTAATAATGATGAAGCTGTAAGGGTAGTTATTTTCAGTGTAAATGGGCTTAACATTTGAAAGATTAGTTATATGTGCCTGGGTATTTGATTTTATGTAGTTATGTGCACTCTGTGCCTTGTGTCCAGTACAGAAAAGGATATTCAGTCTGGAGTTAAGATGTAGATGAGCTGCCGTATCCCTGCAGGCAACTGTACTTAGTCTTCTACATGACAACAAATAATTTGTATTTTTCCAAAACAGGCTTCTCTATGTAAGAGCCCTAGCTGTCTTGATATTAACTAGCTTTGTAGACCAGGCTAGCCTCAAGTTCACCTGCCTCTGCCTCCCAAGTGCTTGTATTAAAGGCATGTGCTGCTACTACCTGCCAAGAGGAACAAATTCTTAGGAACCATCTTTCCAGTCCTGGTAGGTGATATTACAAATATAGGCTTTGTTTTTTCTTTTTTTTTAATCATGTGAAATTGTACATTTCTGTTTGCATATGTATTATCCTGGGCAGGGATACATAGCTGTGTTAGATCCCTTGAAGATGAGTCATTGACACTTAACAAATTCTTTCTCTATAGGATCAGTACCTGCTGTGATTGAGCCATCTCTGCATCCACTAAGTGGAATTTTGTGTAAAACATGCCAATTATGACATAAATTAATTGGACATTAAGAATAGTAATAGCTGGAGAGATGGCTCAGAGCTTAAGAGTATTCAACTGACTGCTCTCCAGAGATTGAGTTAATTCCCAGCATTCACATGGTGGCTCACATTTATAATGAGATCTGGTGCCCTCTTGTGGCCTGCAGGGATTCATGCAGACAGAACACTGTACATAATTAGTTTTTTTTCAAAATTAATAGCTTGGGGGGAGCACATGGACCCAGAGTGATGTCTGGGAGGCCAGCACAGGGCTGATCCCTACCTCTGAATGTGGATGTCAATGAGGAGGCACCTGGCGTAAGAAGGGACTTTGGGAGCCCATTCCACAAGGGGGGATGCTCTCAGTCTGGACACATGGGAGAGGCCTAGGCCCTGCCAAGGATATGACAGACTTTGGGGAACCCCCACAGAGGGCCTTACCCTCCCTGGGGAGCAGAGGGGAGATGAGGGGGGCTGATTGGGAGGGAAGAGAGGGAGAAGGGATTGACATGTGAATCAGCCTTGTTTCTAATTTGAACTAATAAATCTCTTGGGATAAAAAAAGTTAATAGCTTGAAAGAATAGTAATAGTGGTAGCTGAAATTGGGCATGGTGAGTGAGAAGATGCAGATGTTATTGTGGCTGGTGAAATAATGAAAACTTGACATTTTCTCGTTTCTAAATACAGCTATTCTATATATTTTTCCCTTGAGCCTTTCTGATTTGTGGGATTTGCTAGTCAGTATAAATAGATTTCTTATGGCCAAGGGGTTTGATATACTGGAAATAAAACCTGTCCAAAGGATGTAATCCTTAGGTTTGGAGACTTTACTAAAGTGACTTAACAGTACTATTTGCTTTTTAAACAATCATTTGGATACAAAAGTAGTGAAGTTTCACAGGAAAAAAAAAATACCATGGTCTCAGAACCCCCACCCTTCCCCCAAAAAAGATGATAAAACCATTTTCAGGGATTTATTTTTTTCCTATTTTTGGCTTGACCTATTTTCCTGTGTGGAAGGTGCTGGTGTTGAAGACAACCCCCTTTGAGGGGGAATGTGCACAGCTTTTTTCTTTCTCAGTTTGTTACAGATTGGAGATGTTTGGTCAACGTGATGCTGACATCACAGCCAGCAGCATCCCATCTTTTTGTATCTTTTGCCCTAGCACCTTCACTTTCTCATCTCTTGTAAAATATACCCCCACCCCAGTTTTGAGACAAAGTTTCTTAGAAGTACAGGCTGGCCTCAAATTCCTGATACTAGAAATTACAATAGGCAGGATTGACACCGTGGGATACTGTCAACCCATTTTATTTTTTTTAATGTTGAGGAATAGTGAAATAACTAAGTCTTAGCCATGTAAGCACCAATTCTGCCAGGAAGTTAGAATTCACCTCCCCACTCCCTACCCCCAGCCCTAGCTGACAAGAACATGTTATATATAGTACAACCTAGCTTTGAACTTGCCATAATGTTCCTGCTTCAACATCACTAATGTCAGAATTACAAACTTGGGAATGGAGAAATGACTTCTTAAGCCCATTGGCTGCTTTTCCAGAGGACCAAGGTTCAGTGTCCAAGCATTAACATTACAGCTCATCTGTAACTCTAGTTCTAGGGCATCAATAATTTCTTTGGGCCTCCAGACAGCAGGCAGGCAAACACCCTCACAAAGTTTTTGCTTTTAACTAAAAGCATAGTGGGTGGTGGCGCATACCATTAATACCAGCAGAGGCAGGTACATCTCTTGATTCAAGGCCAGCCTGAGTTATACAGAGAAACACAAGTCTGAAAAAACTATAAGACTGGTTGCCATGGATAGTGTAGTTAGAACAAAACTTGTTTGTGGGTGTGTGCCTGCATGTATGAAGATTGGAGTCTTTAAAAAAAAAATTTTCCCCACTATGTGGTATCTAGGGCTCTACCTTCCTCAGGCCTAACAGCAAGCACTGGCTGACCTATCTATTGCTCATATTTGAATATGTGATACTTGGTGTTTCAAGTATTCAGTTTAGTATATAATGAGAACTCTGCTGTCTTTGCTTTTTAACCACTTCTGCCCTAATCTGCCCATGTTCTGCATGGTCTCCCATCCTCTCTACTCAAGTTGTCATTTTTTCCTAAAGCCATCCCTCCCATGAATAGGTTTCCTCTCGCCCCTGTTCATTTGTTTCACAAGGTGTCCCTTGTAACCCAGAGTGGTCTTGGACCTCTTCATGCCTTAGTGTTGTGCAGGACTGCCTTCCAAGCCACACTGCCACCATCTTCATCAAATCAGTTGTGCCAGCTTACAGAATGATTTCAGCTGGGCTTGTGTTTCGGTATGTTGCTTTATAGAAGGAGGGGCAGAGAGGGTCATGGGACCATCACCTAAATATCCAGCCACTCCTCCCAAGCAGTTGACTGCAATTCTATTCTAACTGCACATGGCCTCCAGGAGAGGCTAAAGAAAATAAAGGAATAGGAGAGAGAGGCAGACTTCATCTACATAGTCACAGTGAAGTCTTTCATCCATGCTTTCCAGTGTGGCTGCTTTCAGGGGTCATCCACACTCCTGCTCCCAACCCCTCACAATGCTCTGTAAGTAAGTTCAATAAATTCATTAGTTTTTCTGGGTGAACTTTGGTGGACTCAAACCTCCTTTTGTCCTTGGGATCTTAGGAGGAAGGACACATGTGGCTTCTATCTCCTCCAGGGATGGAATTTTAGCAACACTGAATCTTTCCAAGTGCTGAGATAGAGTCTTTTAGTGGCTTAACATTATTTGGTAGGCACACATGGTGACTGGCAGCTGGAGATCTAGGTTCAGGTGCTAAAGGAAGGAGTTCAGGCTAGAGGGGCTCAGAGAAGGAGACAACAGAGGATGGAGAAGGGACAGGGTAATGGGAGAAAGCCTGGGTGCCTCCAGTATGTGGGTACCTGACTTTCATAAAGGGTCACTGGTTTTCGGCTTGGGATGGAAACCATGGCCATGCACAAGCTTAGCATGTGAAAATACAGGGAATGGATTGATCTTGTAGCTAGCACTGGAAACTCCCAGGGAGCACCAGGCACATTGGAGAAAGATGACCTGGTGAAAGGCTGGGGCTCAGAGGGTAGAGCGCTTGTAAAGCCAGGAGGCACAGGGTTCCATCTCCAGCACAGCATATATGGGTCCTAGTGGTACAGGTCTGCAATTCCAGAGAGGGAGGTGGAGGCTGGGCCCGCCTCATAGTGAGTTTGAGAGTGACCTGGACTACACCAGACACTGTATAGTTTTTTGGGGACCTTGTTTTTTCCACAGTATATGTATTAACTTATTTTTCCCCAATAACGTTTATTTTGTGGTTGTTCAAAGCTTTATTGAACATCTGCTTGGAGACTGCTCCAATAGAGGAAAACCAAAACACAGGAGCCCAAATCTGCTCTGTGATGGTGTTTGAAGGTCTGGTCCCTGTTCCTAGTATTACAGCTGGGCTGTGGAAGATGTGGCATGCAGAGACATGAGTGCCCAGAGAAATGAAAGGTGACACCTGATTCCTGTGACTTCTTGGAGTAAGAGAGCTATCTAGATGTCCTCTGGCAGACTTGTAGGCTCTGGCCATAATTTGGCTCATACTATTCAGGTAGGTGGAAAATCAAGCTGAGTTTATTCCTCATTATTTTTTTTTAATCCTGTGTTAAGGACATGAATTTTTGATAGGAGATGAAGATTAGGATGCATCTTGTCTTCTTCAGAGATGATCATAAAATATCAGGACCCAGGTTGGGGGGAGGGGTTACACACTAAGCTAGCACCTAGGAGGCAGGTAGAGCACCATCACTTAGGCCATCTGGGCTACAAAATGAGACCCTGTCTCAAATACTTAAAACATCAAACAAAACTCCCCCAAAATTCAGAGGAGGCAGCTACAATGGCACATACCTTTAATCTCATTAACCCCTGTGAGTTCAAGGCCAGCTTGGTCTACATAGCAAGTTCCATGTCAGCCAGGACTACATAATGAGAGCTTGTCTAAATGGATAAATAAGTAAGTAGTGCAGGAGAGGGACTGGAAAAATGGTTCAGCAGTTAAAATTACTTCCTGCACTTGCATAGGACTCAAGTTCCGTTCCTAGCATCCACATCAATGGCTCACAACCTCCTGTAACTCTGCCTCCAAGAGATCCAACTCTCTTCTGGACTCCATAGGCACTGCACTTAGGTACACAA